CCTGGAGCCTGTTTCCGATTCTGTGTCTCCCTCTCTCTCTGCCCCTCGCCCGTTCATGCTCTGTCTCTCTCTGTCCCAAAAATAAATAAACGTTGAAAAAAAAATTAAAAAAAACCACAAAAACAAAAAAACAATATCCATCTATATGCTACTTACAGAAAATTATTTTAGAACTAAAGCACCTCCAGATTGAAAGTGAGGGGATGGAGGACCCTCTATCATGCTAATGGACATTAAAAGAAAGCCAGAGTAGCCATACTTATATCAGATAAATTCGATTTTAAACGAAAGAATGTAGAGGCACCTGGGTGGCTCAGTCGGTTAAGTGTCTGACTTCAGCCCAGGTCATGATCCTGCACTTCGTGGGTTTGAGCCCTGCATTGGGCTCTGTGCTGACAGCTCAGAGCCTGGAGCCTGCTTCAGATTCTGTGTGTCCCTCTCTCTCTGCCTCTCCCCTGCTTTCACTCTCTCTGTCTCTCAAAAATAAACATTTAAAAATTTTTAAACAAAAGAATGTAACAAGAGATGAAGAAAGGCACTATAGCATAATAAAGTTGTCTATCAAACAAGAAGATCCAACAACTGTAACTACTTATGTTCCCATCTTGGAGCCACCCAAATATATAAATCAATTAATAACACACATAAAGAAAGTCATTGATAATAATACAGAAGTAATAGGGGACTTTAATACCCCACTTACAACAATTGACTGATCATCCAAGCAGAAAATGGAAGAAGGAAACAATGGCTTTGAATGACACTCAGGACCAGATGGACTTAACAGATATATTCAGAACATTTCATTCTAAAGCAGAATATACATTCTTTTCAAATACACATGCCACATTCTCAAGAATAGATCACATACTGGGTCACAAATCAGGCCTCAACAAGTATAAAAAGACTGAGATCATACTATACATATTTTCAGACCACAACACTAGGAAACTTGAAGTCAACCAGAAGAAAAAATTGGGGAAGACCACAAATACATGGAGGTAAAAGAACATCCTACTAAAGAATTAATGGGTTAACCAGGAAATTAAAGAAAAAAAAATAAAAAATACATGAAAGCCAATGAAAATGAAAGCACTATAATCCAGAACCTTTGGGATGCAGCAAAAGCGGTCATAAGAGGGAAGTATATAGCAATATAGGCTTATCTCAAGAAGAAAAAAGTCTAAAATACACAACCTAACCTTACACCTAAAGGAGCTCAGGAAGGAACAGCAAATAAATCCTGAAATCAGCAGAAGAATGAAAATAATAAAGATTAGAGCAGACATAAATGATATAGAAACAAACAAAAAATACTGGAGAACACATCAATGAAACTAAGATCTGTTTCTTTGAAAGAACTAATAAAGTTGACAAACTCCTAGCCAAACATATCAAAAAAAAAAAAAAAGAGAAAGAACCAAATATATGAAATCATAAATGAAAAAGAAGAGATCAAAAATGACACCACAGAAATACAAACAATTATAAAAGAATATTATGCGAAATGATATGGCAACAAATTGGGCATTCTGGAAGAAATGGATAAATTCCTAGAAATATAAAACCTACCAAAACTGAAACAGGAAGAATTAGAAAATTTGAACAGACCCATAGCCAGGAAAAAAATTGAATCAGTAACAAAAAATCTCCCAATAACCAAATCCAGGGCTGCATGGCTTCTGATGGGAAATCTATCAAACATTTAAAGACGAGTTAATACTTATTCTCAAACTGTTCCAAAAAATAAAAATGGAAGGAAAACTTCCAAACTTATTCTACAGGGCCAGCATTACCTTGATTCTAAAACCAGACAAAGATCCCACCAAAAAGGAGAATTAAAGGTCAATATCCCTTTTAACATGGATGCAAAAATTCTCAACTAGATACTAGCAATTCGAATCCAACAGCACAGAGAATTAATCAGCACAATTTAGTGGGATTTATTCCTGGGTGTAGGGGTGGTTCAATATTTGCAAATCAATGAATGAGATATACCACATTAATAAAAGAAAGGATAAGAGCAATGTTATCCTCTCAATAGGTGCAGAAAAATAATTTGAAAAAGTAAAGCATCCATTTTTGATTAAAAAAAAAAAAGGGGGGCGCCTGGGTGGCGCAGTCGGTTAAGCGTCCGACTTCAGCCAGGTCACGATCTCACGGTCCGTGAGTTCGAGCCCCGCGTTGGGCTCTGGGCTGATGGCTCAGAGCCTGGAGCCTGTTTCTGATTCTGTGTCTCCCTCTCTCTCTGCCCCTCCCCCGTTCATGCTCTGTCTCTCTCTGTCCCAAAAATAAATAAACGTTGAAAAAAAATTTAAAAAAAAAAACCTTCAACAAAGTAAGGTAGAGGGAACATACCTCAACATCATAAAGGCCATATATAGTAGACTCACAGCTAAGATCACCCTCAATGGGGAATAGCTGAGAGCTTTTCCTCTATATTCAGGAACAGGACAGGGATGCCTACTCTCACCACTGTTATTAAACATAGTACTGGAAGTCATAGCCTCAGTAAGAAGACAACAAAAAGAAATGAAACAAATCCAAATCAGCAAAGAAAAAGTGAAACTTTCAATATATGCAGATGACATGATACTCCATGTAGAAAACCTGAAAGATACCACAAAAAAATGCCAGAACTGATACACGAATTCAGCAAAGTCACAGGATATACAATAAACTTACAGAAATCTATTGTGCATCTATACACTAATAATGAAGCAGCAGAAAGAGAAATTAATGAACCAGTCCCATTTACAATTACACCAAAAGCCATAAGATACCTAGGAATAAACCTAACCAAACAGATAAATAATCTGTACTCTGAAAATTATGGAACACTTATGAAAGAAACCAAAAATGACACAAAGAAACGGAAAATATTCTGTGCTCATGGATTAGAAGGACAAATATTATTAAAATCTCTATACTACCCAAAGCAATCTACACATTTAATGCAATCCCTAGCAGAATAGCACCAGCATTTTTCACAGAGCTAAAACAAACTATCCTAACCTTTTTATGGAACCACAATAGACCCTGGGGTTATAAAGTATCCTGGAAAAAAAAAAGCAAACCCGGAGGCATCACAATTCCAGACATTAGGCTATATTACAAAGCTGTAGACATCAATATGGTATGATAATGGCACAATAACAATCACATAAATCAATGGAACAGAATAGAAAACCCAGAAATGGACCCACAACTATATGGGCAACTAATTTTCAACAAGGCACGAAAGAATATCTGATGGAAAAAAAGTCTCTTCAACAAGTGGTTTTGGGAGAACTGGACAGCAACATACAAAAGAATGAAACTGCTCACTTTCTTTTTTTTTTAATTTTTTTTTCAACGTTTATTTATTTTTGGGACAGAGAGAGACAGAGCATGAACGGGGGAGGGGCAGAGAGAGAGGGAGACACAGAATCAGAAACAGGCTCCAGGCTCTGAGCCATCAGCCCAGAGCCCGACGCGGGGCTCGAACTCACAGACCGCGAGATCGTGACCTGGCTGAAGTCGGACGCTCAACCGACTGCGCCACCCAGGCGCCCCGAAACTGCTCACTTTCTTACACCATACACACACATACAAATTCAAAGTGGATGAAAGACCTAAATGTGAAACATGAATCCATCAAAATCCTAAAGCAAAACACAAGCAGAAACCTCTTTGACATTGGTCGTAGCAACTTCTTACTTGCTAGACATGTCTCTGGAGGCAAGGGAAACAAAAGCAGAAATGGGGACTATTGGGACTTTATCAAGACAAAAGCCTTCTGAAGAGTAAAGGAAACAATCAATAAAATTAAAAGGCAGCCTACAGAATGGGTGGAGATATTTACAAATGACTTATGTGGTAAAGGGTTAGCATCCCAAGTCTATAAAGAACATATCAAACTGAACACCCCAAGACCTAATAATCCAATTAAGAAATAGGCAGAAGGTGTTGCCATTTGCAACTACATGGATGGAGCTGGAGGGTATTATGCTAAGTGAAATTAGTCAGAGTAAGACAAAAATCATATGACTTCACTCATATGAGGATTTTAACAGACAAAACGGATGAACATAAGGGAAGGGAAACAAAAATAATATAAAAACAGGGAGGGGGACAAAACAGAAGAGACTCATAAATATGGAGAACAAACTGAGGGTTACTGGAGGGGTTGTGGGAGGGGGGATGGGCTAAATGGGTAAGGGGCATTAAGGAATCTACTCCAGAAATCATTGTTGCACTGTATGCTAACTAATTTGGATGTAAATTTAAAAAAAATAAATAAATAAAATCAGAGAAAAGTGAAAAAAAAATAGGCAGAAGACATGAATAGACATTTTTCCAAAGAAGACATCCAGATGGTCAATAGACACATGAAAAGATGCTTGTCATCACTCATTATCAGGGAAAAATACAAATCAAAACCACGATGAGATACCACCTCACACCTGTCAGAGTGGTTAAAATTAACAACACAGTAAACAACAGATGTTGGTGAGGATGTGGAGAAGGGGGAACTCTTAGAACCAACTTTAAATATGTAATTTTGCTGCCTCAACTTTTGTAGCAAATCCAACTAGTTATTTGACTCCAAAAAAAAAAAATCTTGAGGATAATATAGGGGTCACATAGAATGGAAAAATGACAGGTCATTATGGACTAAGGAGGGTTTTGAATAATAGTTTAACAATTTTAGACCATGTTGACTGGATAATGGTAAGCATTTGAAGGTTTCTATTCAGCTCAATAGTTGTTTTAGAAGAATGCAGCAATAAGGGTAAATTCCAATTGAATGAAAAAGATGTTTGAGTTGAGAAATCCATTGCATAGTTATACAAATATTCTATCTGTATATAACCAAATATGGACCTGAATTTCAGTGTTGGTATTGGATATGGTAAAGAAACTGGCTATATAGATGTTGTTGAAAATAATTTACAGTATTTGGTAAATAAATACATATGAGGATGTATGGAGAACATCACAACAAAACCATGTCTTACCTGCTCAGAGAAATGCTTCAGTAATGTGATGCATTTAATTAGTTGGCTTTTCAAACTGGAAAATTCTGACATACAATCAAATGGAGGCCTGCCAGGAAAGATGAGAAGAGATTCTGTCATCTCAGTTTCATTGAATGTCATAGCTTTATACCTTAGGAAATTGAAAATTATAACTCGCAATATATAGAGCTTTAGATCACTATGAAAAAGTGCCAAGGGTCAGCTAAATTCTAGACATCACAAAGTTATACAAATAATAACAGAAAGCTTATATATGGAAGCTGATCAATGTAATGTATCTACAGTGTCAATAAACTGCTAAGATGGTAGGTACACAATTTACAATAGTTATTCCCATTTTCAAGTTACTATAAAAAGGTGGAAGACAGAGTAGGGAACTTTTTAATTTTTTTACTTCTTTTTCCTTGGCTAGCTTACTGTAGAAATTATTACATGAAAGGAAAAGAGGGAAAGAAAAAGTATCAAATATTAACTAAGTATATAATCCACAAGTAGATTATTCATTCCTTGAAAAATAAAGATTGGCTGTATCTGGTAATTAATTTTATTTGCACAAATAAAAAAAAGATGTAATTTTCTTAGTACACTACAGGCACTTGAAAAGTTTGATTTATTATTTTTATCTAGCATAGCTCTTATGCTTCTGTGGTTTCGGAGACCTATAATCACAAGTAGTAATTTGAATTAGGTGATGAATCCTACATAGCATTGTTGTAACATAATCATCCACTTCATCTATTTTATTATATTCCAAAAATGGAGAACAATTTTCAGGATGTCATTTGTAAAATAAATTCACAAGCATAGCAGTACTGAAAACATATTTATTCTCACATGAAAAATGAAGTTTTAGTTTTAAAAATCAGCAATAAAAAGTAATTTATAAGACTACCCCCAATTCCTAGACTACTATCCCTGATGTTTACATGAAAGTGCCATTTTCTGTAAACCTATTTCTGAAGCACATATGAACAAAATTATGCATTTTTCCCCTTCTCATCCATTTCTAGACTAAAAAAACATGAGCAATAGGCAGGAAAACATGGGGTTAACATGAAGCCTATTACTTCATCCTACCCTCTCCCTTAATTCTCAACATGAAACATGCTCAATATGTTTCCTTACAAGTAGTGTATTGGGTAGTTATGCTTGGGTAAGTGGTCTTGAGTTACTATATTGCCCTCCTCAATGAGTTTTGTCATAAATTCTACTTCAAATCAGTAAGCCAATAAATATTTTAATGACTAATAGAAATATAGTCAGAGAAGCCATTGTCAACAGACTCTAAGATTTCTATTATTATAATTAAGAGCTTTTTAAAACCCACAATGTCCACAGTAAATCTTAATAGGTTACTTCCATTACTAATAAAGTGACAAATAAAGCTCTATCGTACATATCTAAGCTTATAATGTTGGCAAAGCCAATCTTTTGTATACTGTAGTTCCATTGAAAAATGTTCAAATAACTCATTAAAAAGTCTAAGTCTTTTAGAAAAATACAAAAAAAGAAGAAGAGGAAACTTCTTGGGAGGAGGTTATATAACCAACTTTTCCCTTTTTTTCCATGATGACATATTGAATTAAAATCTTGAACTAACATCAATTCTATCTCAAAAGTACTTATTATCTCTATTACCAAGGTGACTCACTAGATTTATATTCTTCTTTTTAATAAAGTAAAAATAATTTTTAGTCCTGAAATCATAGATTTGATTAAACCAAGTGAAATAATTGTTTGAATCACAATTTGACAAAAAAAATCAATATTAAAACTAATAATGGAAAATTTACATTTTTATAGCATCTTTCCCACGTTGTATTTTAGAAGCATAGACATAAGGCCAATTTTAGGATAAACCATAGAAATAATTTTCCTGGCAACACAATTATTTAATTTCAGAGAGAAAATAAGAAGCAATTCTTCCAATTAGCACGCTAAACAGATATCTGGTAAAAGAAATTTAATTTTTTTATAGGAAATTCAATTAGCCTGAGCCCTAAACATTATTTTGCTTTTGAGCCCCAAACATTCTTAAAACCCATGTTACTATATGAAAAGAAATGGGGCAAATGAGTCTCTGACACAACTTTCAAGACATGGTCTTTACTAGGAGGTCTTTGAAAAATCAGAAGCACCTAAAGCTAAGAAATTTAAAAGTGCCTAGATGTTTAATAGCAACTATGTCCAGTGCAAGGTATGCAGTGTGTTTTTTTATTCAGTTGCCACTACTTCTTATGCAAGGACTATGAGAATCTGTAATGTTTTAAACTAAAGTTTAATAGCCAGACTTCCTAAAAAAAAAAGAAAAGAAAAAAAAAAAAGGGGCGCCTGGGTGGCGCAGTCTGTTAAGCGTCCGACTTCAGCCAGGTCACGCTCTCGCGGTCCGTGAGTTCGAGCCCCGCGTCGGGCTCTGGGCTGATGGCTCAGAGCCTGGAGCCTGTTTCCGATTCTGTGTGTCTCCCTCTCTCTCTGCCCCCCCCCCCGTTCATGCTCTGTCTCTCTCTGTCCCAAAAAATAAATAAATGTTAAAAAAAATTAAAAAAAAAGAAAAGATATTTCAGCTTCGATAAGCTCACAGATTATAGAATAAAACTGTATAAAAATAAGTAAAGGAAACTACAAAAGTGGAGCAAGAGCTGTTATAAAATCAAGAATAATCATAAATTTGATATAAAACAAAATAAAATTAATTTAAGGGAAAAGCTAATTATATGAAAATATTTGTTTTAGTGACAAGAGTAAAAACTATGACAAATATTTCAGTTTTTTTAAAAAAAATTGTTACATCTAAAACTGTCTTGACATTTGTAAAATAGGGTTGAAGGGGAATAAAAATTAAGAAAATTGGGAAAACTAATATGACATTTCAATAAATTTGTTTCAATGATTTAGCTGATAATAGAGATATGTTGAATACATAAAAATGTCAGACAGTATCCAAAGGTCTGGAAATATTTTGAATGCAATTACTACCCATTTAGCTTGAGCTGAAGAGAGACTTCGGTACCATGAACAATACTATCACTATTAGGAGAAATTACTTGTTGAGATTACAGGTTGTATTAGAATATAAATGCAATAAAGGTGTAATTGGGAAAAAAAATAAAGTTTAAAATATTCAAGCTGTTAGGAAAGAAGGTGCTAAGGTGAACCATAAGTTTGCCATATTCAAAAGCTGTTATATGAGGTAATTTTACATAGATTATATCATTTTTAAAGAGGAATCTGCTACTACAAAATATTAAGGACTACTTACAACAAAATACTGTAAGAACAATATAAGCCCCTTTTAATCTTGCATGGTTTCACTATTCAGAGAGCTAAGGGGCCCCCAAATTAGTTATATAATGAAAATGTCCAAAGCATCCTTCTCAATAATGCAGCCATGATTTGAGTTTTGTAATGAGACTACTTTAATAATACAAGACAATTTAATACTGTGAATAATCAGCTATCAATGAAGGAAATTATATTCATTTTGGGGGTCTTCTGTTGCCACTACTCATTCCTGTGGCTATTTCTGTTGAGTGACCATTATTCCTTTCCCTATTTTCCTTAACTTGAGCTAATTCCAAGGATTTCAATTATTTTCCGTTTCAACTTGTTGCCAGACAGATATCTGTAAGGGGCTCAGACGAGAGGAAGTAGTGGAATTTATGAATTTCTTATGTTTTATCTAATATCCAATTTGAAATTTATTTGAAAAAGCAGGTCAGTCATTTCATCCCACTTTATCCGTTCATGTGAACAAAATGGGCTTGTCACTCAAGCATCAATTGAAATGAAAGATGAAAAAGAATCCAATAAGGGAATAACAAAGAGGGAAAACTATTGTGACTTCTCTTCTCTCATTGATCATAAACACATGCTTCCCTCTCTCACTACTTAACCTGTCTATCTTTGGGGTATAATACTTTCTGATAGCAGAAACAAAAGGCATAAGAATAAATATCCGTATAATGCTTCATTTGTGTGTAGAATATAGAGTTGACTATGTAGTCTTTGATCAAGGTAACAATTAGGAAACTGATTTTTTTTAGGAAACTGAAATATTAATGTTACCTAAAGGTTATTACCATAATAAAATTAGAAATCATTAGCCTTTGATTTCTAAACCTTTCTCTGAGCAACACAGAGTTTTAAAAGCACTATTGACTCTTGTTTATCCTAATATAATAAATATATAAAAAAGCATTATTTTGTTGCTGAAAATAGTCCAGAGAAAGTATTTTAGGGCTTTGGTGTTAACTTTTGTGCATTCCTAAAGGACTACAGAAAAACAAGTGTTTCTAATACAGCAGCAGAGTTTGATCTATAAAGGAAGCCGAAAGAAAGTCCTTGGTAAAACAAATATTACTTGTAAATTGTTTTATTTCTGTAAAAAGTAAGATGATCAAATATTTCATTTAAAGCGAGTTTTATAAATATATTTTTTCACTCTAGGGAGATATTCAGAGTATCAATAAAAATCTGTAATTGTATTTGAAAGATATTGTAGAAATAAAATCTAATCTATACATAAGTTTTCTGAAGAGGGAAAAAGAAGACAAAATGCATCTTAAGGCTTTACAGATCAGATGTGAGGAATTACCTTTCCAGAATGTTTAGTATCATCTTGACCACATTTATCAGTTCAAGAGTAGCTGTTAGAATGTTATGAGGTGATTGTTCATTAATGCCATGTAGAATACGGGCCCTTCTTCTTTCCGATATCATGACAAGAACACAATCAATAGCATGCTTAAGATGTTCACTCTGTTTTTTGAATCTTGTAGGCATCTTTTTGTCATTCTGAAATTAAAGTGAGAGTTTGGGGTAAGAAATGAGGCAGCAATTATCTAACACACTTATCTAACACACTATAAATATATTCAACAGCAACACATTTAGCCAAAGTAACATAAAAGGGATGCAAAATTACCACCAAACACTTTTAATACTTTACATATTGCTTTTGGTAATACTTATACCATTCATGGTAGTAGTTACATAAAGATGTGAAAGCAATGAGGTTCAGTCACGTGAATATTGAGGGGAGTAATTTTATTAATGTGGCAACAACCATTTGCCTACAGTTAGCACATGTTAATTCTGGTACTGCCTTATTAGTATACCTATCTCATTTCCTTATTAAAGTATAGTCTACTGATGGAAAACTCTATATTACTTTGTATTCTGAACAGAAATGGGTATAGATTTAAGAGACAGGAAAGGAGATTCTTACTTTTAATTTATCTCAGAGCCCTGCTAACTATATATAGTCCTTTCTGAGAGCTGGCAATTTAAATATACATGAAACATACGAATATTAATTGGCACTGGTATTTAAATGTACCACTTCGGGGCACCTGGGTGGCTCAGTCGGTTAAGCATCTATCTGACTTCAGCTCAGGTCATGATCTCGCAGTTTGTGAGTGCAAGCCTCATGTCAGGCTCTGTGCTGACAGCTCAGAGCCTGGTGCCTGCTTCAGATCCTGTGTCTCCCTCTCTCTCTCTCTGCCCCACCCCCACTTGCACTCTCTCATGTGCACTCTCTCTCTCAAAAATAAACATTAAATGTACCACTTCAAGTGATTTGACACTTATCTCACATATGTGTTTTCTCTTTTTTTAATGTTTATTTATTTTTGAGAGAGCTAGAGAGCAGGGAAGGGGCAGAGAGAAAAGGAGACAGAGAATCCCAAGCAGGCTCCATGAACAGAACCTGATGCAGGGTTTGAACTCCCAAACCAGGAGATCTTGACCTGAGCTGAGATCAAGAGTCAGTCACTTAACCAACTGAGATACCCGGGCGCCCTACATATATGTGTTTTATCTTTGCATGAACATGTGTACGCACATTCCCATTCATCATGCTTTTGTCCAAAGCCTCATCAAATGGTTATCAGGATTAACCACAGGGTTGCAATAATGAATTCTTCCTCTTCGGAAGAAGTTACTCTAGCTTCCTGGTTTAATGATCAGTGAATGTGATTTACTAAGCAGTAAAGAAACCTACTGAAAAAGGACATGCCCTTTTTTAGTTTTTGAAATTCTGAGGTGCAGGGAATTTTATTTAATTATGTGAGAAATGAGTTTATGATTATTTTTAGCCTAGGTCCAATAAGATATGTGAAAAGACCATATTAATGACTTCCATGAAACCAGAGAACCAAGACCACATTTCTTCAATAATTACTTCTTCCTAATATAATATCTATTACGTGATGTGTTCAGATGTTCACTCTTAGTGTTTCACTTTAAAAATGATAAATCGGGGTGCCTGGGTGGCTCAGTCAGTTAAGCACCCAACTTTGGCTCAGGTCATGAACTTGCAGTTCATGAGTGCAAGCCTTGTGTCAGCTTGGTGTTGACAGCTTAGAGCCTGGAGCCTGCTTTGGATTCTGTATATCTCTCTCTCTGCCCCTCATCTGTTTATGCTCTGTCTCTGTCTCTCAAAAATAAATAAATGTTAAGTTTTTTTAAAAAAATGATAAATCAACCTAAAAATAGGCCCTTTAAGATTTCTGATGAATAGCTTTGTTTTGGTAGCATCCACCTCCTGCAAATAAGCTTGCTTTACATTTGCTGATTAGAAAAGTAAGATGTATATTTGGGCATTTTTCCTTCTTTCAAGTGGTTTTAGAATAAGAAAAAGAAAGTGGTTCAAAATGATGAAATCTACTTTTCTTATAGATGTCATAATGAAATTGTCATTGCCAGAATTTAAGATATAAACATTAGTATGTTTTTATTTCCATCTTTGGCTTCCCAGCATTTTCCAGCATTTATTGATATAATCTGGGATTTCAGATACAAATTATCATTAATATTAAAATAAGTTAATATTATTGAGCTATATACTTTAACTTTCCAGAGTTTTCAAAATTTTGTGTTAAGTATATAACCATATTAACAAAGATTATTTTGAAAAACTCTGCTTTACTACTTTCATTGCTCATTGCTGGTTCTTTTATACTACAACATACCTGTCCTTGAATTATTTACTTTTATTCATTCTTTAGTCACCTTAAGTACATCTTCCAGTAATTTTAAGGAATTAATAGGTAATACATCTGCTGAGTTTATAGACTTACGAACATTTTTCAGTTGCCAACTCACATAAATGTTTTCCCAAGATCACACAGCTAATTATTAGCAGATCTTATCCTGGGAACAGAAGCCTCTTGATACTCACTGTCCTTTCTACTACATTATTAAATGTATTAGCCCCTAGAATGATAGGGAAATATGGGAATTTTTTGATGTATGCCATGCTACTGTCAGTGTGGTGAAATGGAAAGACATTTAGGTATACAGTGTGAGATCTGAATTTTCACAGATCACTTAAACATATCAGACCCTTGGCTTGTTTTATTTATCTCTAAAATGTAGATATTAACACCTGTTTTATTCATGCATAGGATTGTTATAGATATTAAATGCTATACAAATAAGAGCTGTTATTATTTATATATAATTAGTATATACCAAAAACATATAAATTTTTACATAATTCTTAACTACCAGACTCTATATGGTGGGCAATCTCTTCACAGTCTTAAAAAATCTTCAAGGAAATTAAATAAACCATCTGATATTATAAATTTGAATTGGCTTTCTAATGTAGTTTTTGAAAATTCTGTTAAGATTAAACAATTGATAAATACTATCCTTGTTTTGGTGTATACTTCACTAGACCTTCTTTAAAGAGTGAAAATAAGATATATGTCTTCTCTTTTTTTTTACTTTTTGTTTTAAAAACATTTTGCAGAAAGCAAACATTCCTTTCAGTAAACTCAAAAACAACTAGGTCAAGTAACTTACACTTTGGGAATATTTAGAAAAGAGAAATGAAAACCCAAGAGTGCCACAATGGTGATTATTTTAGCATGAATAACTAATAACAAATAATGTTATTTAAACTGTAAAAAAAGGGAGGCTTGTTGAAATTTTTAAAAGCCATTTATATTAACATAGTAATGGGAAAGTTTCACTATTAATTACATATACCAATGAAGTCACAAAGGTGTCCAACCAAAAGTGTTCCTCAAGTGTTAGTTTGCCCTTGATATTGAATTTCTTATTTTTTTGAATTTTAGGTAATCTCTATCCCAAGCGTGAAGCTTGAACTCACAACTCCACAATTAAGAGTCACATGCTCTACTGACTGATCCAGCCAAGCACCCCTTGAATTTCTTCTGAAACTATGAAGGTCATAATGTGCCAAAAGACATATTTATTTACATCAACCCCTTTATGATACTATCAGCATGATGACAGCCAAAAAAGAACCCCTCATCTTTCCATTAAAATTTGAATTACAGGCTTTTCAGATTCCATTATGACTCATGAAATTAAATAAATCCATTTGTTTTCCATTTGACGTTTAATTACTTTTTGTTTGTATATAATCTTCATTAGTTTTACACAGCTTTCGTGAACTGATGACAGTAGTAGCAGTAGAAATAAATGTTTCAGAAACACATTTTATCCCATCAAAGCTGGCAGAGGAGTTTATTCTCTATGTACCACCACCTTCCTCCAAATACTTTTGATAATTTTAGTGGATTCATTATGTGTGCTGCATGTTCTAACACTATTCTGCCCAATGTTTGTGGTGTAAGAATAACAGCTGAATAATTTTATTGTAGTATGCACAGTCAGAATTTGAGAATGGAACAGATCAATTTAGAGTATATACACCATCTGTATATTATGTGTATATAAGTGATACCTACAATATGGGAATTTTCTCAAAGGTTTATGCAAAAGTCAATGGGAATTTGTGTGATTGAAAATAGGCTAAATATTACACCAAATAATTTCCTTTATTTACATACCATAGTCTTGTAGAAAGGTAGAGGAACCATTTTAAATTCCATACTGTGAACATTGCTTATTTCTAAAGTAAGGCTCCAATATATATTTGTTTATATCTTGCATCATAAATAAGATCTACATATCTTCATACCTGGTCTTACATATATTACACATAAGACAGAATATTTGTTTATACTTTCTGCTTAAATTTTCTGTTATTCATTGAGTGGAAGCTTCCACCTATTTTACAATTTGCCTAAAATCAACCATGAATACACAAAAATTAAAGTCAAAACATGGATAAATATTTTGTTTCTAGGACCATGTAGAATAGGTAGTAACATACAAAGAAAAACATATCATTTTTAAAGTCTCGTACTATGATACAAATGGAATTATATAGGACAATTTCCTCCAAAGTCATATCTATATGATACTAGTAAATGGAAGATTCTGATTAAAAGTTTCTATATTGCTTAGTGATTACCTGACAAAAGCTCCTAATGTTTAAAAAAAGAAAACATTCATAACACTTGTATTTTCCAAAAGCAATACATTTATGACCTTCATTAATAGAAGTATAAACAGTATAAAATAATTCCCAAGCACTCAGATACTCTTTTCTAGCACTGGAATTATAGTCAGAGATCATTACAATTTACTAACCACATAATTGTTCCACTTAGTATTTAATTATCTTATTTTTAATTTTTTTAAAGGTTTATTTATTTTGAGAGAGAGAAAGAGAGAGAGAGCATGTGCACACAAGTGGGAGAGGGGCAGAGAGAGATTCCCAAGCAGAATCCCAAGCAGGCTTTGTGCTGTCAGTGCAAATAAAGAGGTGAAATAAAGAGTCAGACACTTAACCAAGTGAGCCACCCAGGAACTCCTAATTATCTTATTTACAAAATGTGATTCTTCATGAAAACTCTAGGTTGTAGTCAAAGATTGAAGGTTAAAAACATTAAGTTATACTTGAGGATAAAATG